TCAAATTATCAGAGCTAATTGTTACTGTAAAGTACAAACTGCTAAAGTAGAAAAGCAGCATCTCAAAAAGCACAGAAATACTAAACTGCTGTTTAAAACAGCAAACATACTCTGCTTTAACTAGTGTTAACAGTATAAGCATCATAGCTGAAATTTCAAAAATGGTCACGTTCAGACAAAAATATTTCCTGCCTCATTACATTCTCTGTCACCCTTACCTTTTTGCCTAGTGTTTATGATCAGCAAAGCACTAATATTTGAATTTCTGGACCACTTAGAAAAGGTAATTTAGGAGCCAGTGCTGCAATCATTTTTGTACTGAGTGGCATAAAGAATTAAACAAAACAGCAGGCAGGCTAACACAAAAACCTGTGAGTGACTGAAGAGATAATGTGAAGAAGAAAATTAAAAGGAAAATACAATGCAGAGAAGCACTGAAAATGTAAGAGCAGGGAAAACAGGATATTAAGAATCACATTACAAAGAAAATGTTATGGAAAAATAAAAATTGTAAAACAAGACAGAAATATGGTACAGAACTTCATGTTCTCACTTAGATACATTTAAATTTTAAAAATTTTCACTGGAAGTTGTATGCAGTTAACAAAACTTACAAGCAACTTATAAAAAACTCCACTGATTTAGATTTGATGCAGTACTTTCTGGTGAGTGAAGCCCAGAATATTTAAATGTGACTCATTTTGATCAAGAGCTCCCCAATACTCAAATTTATGTCACCTTATTTACAACAGGCACAATTTTCATTCCAACTATACATCCACATCCTCTTTAAACACAGCATTGAGCAGCTGTAAGAACCTGTAGAAATACGATTTTGTATCACAGTGCAACACCATGAGAAAGCAGACTTACCTTTACCTTTCTTGTGTGCTAATATGTATCTGCAAATATGTATCTGCAGAGGGCTGCAAAAGATACTTGAGCTCATGCTTGAAAAGCCATTCACAAATGGAAAAATACAATTGTGAATAGATTCCATAGTGAACAAGAACAGCAGAAGAGAGAAGAGCAAGATGTAATCAAAGAACAGATACCAAGTTAGCTCTCCCTTTTCAACTGGACTATCCAAACAAGCCACAAAGTTTAAATCTACATTATTACCGTTTTGTTTACTGTCATTTTGGCAGCTGACCCAAAGTCCACCAGTTTAACATGTCCTGTTCGGTCAATAAGAACATTCTCTGGTTTGATATCCCTGTAAACCAGAAGAAAGCAATCAGAACCTTTCCAGACCATTTTCTACTGTCACATCCAGGTAACAGGACATCTCTATTCAGCTATACTCAACCTCATACATAAAATCTTTCAAGTGGGAGTCTTTTCCCAACAGGTGCACTTTTTCCAAGCAAATATGGAAGTATTACAGTTCCCCTTATTTCATAGAAGGTTAATAATTGTTGACAGCAGATAAAAAGGGAAGATGATTTTGCACCTTGACCACATTGTAACTGAGTTCAGTAAAGTATTTTGTAGTTTTCCTCCTAAACTCTCTCACAACTTGCTCTGCACATCTTCCAAATTCAGCCAAGTGACCTTGCACTAAGAAAGCCACAGCCCATGCTCTGAGTGCAGTCACTACAAACTCTTGGAACATAAAATACTTCCTAACATTTCCACACCCTCAGAATGAAATAATTTTTTTAAATATCAATATGATTTGAAAATGCACACAGTAACAGTCTCCAAGCCTTGAGAGAAAACTGTGATATTTAACTACTCCAACATCCTATACTGCACTGATCACCAATCAGCACACAACATTTTTAACAATTACATTAATTTCCCATAGTATTTGGTGCCAAAAGCAGCAATCCATGGAAAAGATTTAAATTTTTTATAGTGCAACATTAAGGCTTCCTTTTACTAAGCCTCCAGAAAAATATATGTAACAATCCTTTCTTGATATTGGTCTGAACTTTACATCAAAGTTAATGCCTTGAGCTACAATTATAGTTGGGAGTCTGATTAATTTTCTAATTTTGTCTTCTGGCACAGCATGTGAAATACTGAAAGAGGACAGAATATGGAAGTACCAAAGCAACCTTTACATACCGGTGGACATAACCCATCTGATGGACACTGTGAATGGCCAAAACCAACTCTGCAAGGTAAAACTGCACCATATTCTCGTCCAGTTGGTCCTCATATCTGTTTAAGAGTGACAGCAAATCCCCTCCAGGCTGGTATTCCATCACCTACATACCATTTTAAAGGAATAGATATACAAGATACTTCATTCAACTCCCCAGTAAGACACTGAGCACATATCAAACAGTACTATGCAACACAGGAAAATTTACAGAAAACAAGCACATTTCAGCTATCACATTGTTCTTTAGTAAACCAACAACAATGGTGTTCAATAGAGGAGAAAATCAGAGACTAGGCATTACCAAGTAGAGGTTTTTCTTGTCTTGAAATGCATATTGTAACTGTGGAATCCATGGACTGGTGCTCTGAGCTAATATGCTGCGTTCTTCCTCAAAAAATGACACCTACCAAAAAAGTGTTCAGTTACATCATGATGAGAGGAAGTGAGAATACATTAGAATTCCCTAGATTTAGAAAAACTTGGCACACATCACCAAAAAATTACACAGATATTATTAAGTGCTGTTTCCTGAGCAAGTGCCATGTGAGGGTAGAACCATACTTTGCTTTCTTGTCAATCTATGCCCCAGAAAGGGTAATTTTAGTTGAGCTCCATTTCTGCTAGCCACAGACAATGATGAGAGATATCAGGAGCAACCTTACTGCACCACGCATTGGAAACAACTGATGCAGATATTGTATAAATTCAAGAGGTTTCTCGTGGAGTATCTCTGTCCTACTTGTCATCTCATGTCAGCAAAGATTAACTTCTGTTTCTCACCAAACTATGAGAACAACCTCCATTATCCCTTTTTTAAGTTTCCAAGTAACACATTTCTCAAGCAAGCGAGAGGCTCTCCATAAAAATCCAGTCACCACAGTTTGCCTTCCCACCCACTCTTGACATTCTACTTTGCTCTTTAAAATAAAAAAAAACCCAAAACCTTAATGAATAGATTGTCTGAAAATTCAAACCATCATCAACAAGATCAATACTGATTCAATGTTTCCGTCATCTGTTTTTCTTTTCTTATAATTAGATGGGAAGCTCTTCACAACAAGGGCCATGTTTTGGTACCTGAGGATGGCACCTCACCCAACAGACCTATAGACTGTGACAACAGCTTTTAAACACAGCAAAACTACACACAAATTTATTGCTTCACTGAAATGTAGGATGAACTTTCTCAAGATGTATTTTTAACTCATTTCTAATAATAGTGACAGAAAGGAAGTGTTCAACAAATTGCAATTTATCCTCCTACTCTCAGAACAGAAAAATATACATACGTGCTCCTGCGCCAGCAAGGACTCCTTGCTCATCACCTTCATAGCATAGACATCACCAGTGACTTTCTCTCTCACTACTTTGACATCTGCAAAGTGACCACAGCCAACCACACTCTTTACTTCAAAGTCCTTCACACTGGGTTGCAGTTCCTTTAGTTCAGCGATAGCCTCTGCATCTATAAAAATAAAATACTTATTTTTACATTTGGCAACTGGCATTTTATAAAAAAGAGACAACATCGAAACTAGGGAATAAAATTTTAAAAAGCCCCAGCAAACCAAAACCAAAAAAATCCCAACATTTAGTTCCAGATTCTCAAGAAATGTTAAATCTTTCCAGAATATGCTTCTTAAAAATAACAGCATGCATCAGAACTAGAAAAAGACTGTATCAATGCAGAGTTAAGTCTGAAATATGGTACATACAAAAGGATCAGGAAATGCTAAGACAGTTCCCATAGCAACCAAAATTCTGTCCCATTCATAACATCAGAGGCTGAGAACCTCTTTGGTTTCTAATTTCTTTCCAGCAATCCTTTATCAATACAAAGTATATTCTCTAAACTTGAGGGCTTTACCCAGTGAATTCTAGTCCAGGGGCAGGGTTTGCTCCTCTGCCTGAGGGAGGCACCAGTCTATTGTCTAACAACAGGCATTTACTGCAGATATTCAGCTCAAGTTTTCCACTGACTAGTTCCAGCCAGCATGCACTATGATAATCAGTCACTCACAGCAGATTGCTCTAAAAATTTTTCAAACTAGCAGAAAATTACTGTCTGCTAATAATACTGACAAACCACTGAGTGGAACTATAACAGGGGGCACAACGTTACTTGAAATCAAATGTCTTTCTGCTATACCTTAATGGAAAAATTGACAGAAATTTTCTTTGCTCTTCCCCATAAGGAATCTGAGCGCATTATCAATAAAATATTTACCAATAAAATATTTACTCCTTTAGGATCTGTGTTTCTGAAGCACAGAAATACTCTTTACAAGTTACACATGCAAAACTCAGGTAACACATGGAATCCAAAAGGTGAGAGAGCCAGGGATTACCAAATTTCTCTCTCAAATCCTTTTTTCTCATAGTCCCTATCCTGGTCTCAACTCCTGACATCCTTCTGTGGTGCACACTCAGAGCTTTGCTGGAGCCAGTACTCACTGTCCAAGAAAGTACCTCCTCAAATATAAATACAGTACAAACTAAGAAGGAGGCACATTTGAGTCACAGCACTTCAAAAGCCATTTGCATTTGATCTTCTCGGACCTGAACAAATCCTTACTGAGACTGCCAAGATCCCCTTTGCAGAGTTGAGTCTGCCAACAAAAAATCAGAAGCTCAAAGTCCTGGGTTACAATCAAAGCAACTAAAGCATTACTCTAACATCCAGATTCTTAAGAACTGTTTTATAAAGTGACACCTGAATATTAGTCTAAACAAACTTACACTTCTTGACAAAGTTGCCAACATGTTTAATTTTCATTAAAGCAGGGTTTTTGCATTCTTCAAAAAGAACAAATAATGAATCAAGGATGCCTTCCCGGGAGAGAGTAGACATCTGCTGTTGAGTCACAAAGAGTGGCTTCCCCTGGAAAAAAAAAGCAGCAACAGCAGATGGAGTCTCAGACAACAATGAAAAGCCTCAAATCAATAACAGATGTATAGAGCAGATTATATATTATCCATTTTAAAATCACTGCTTCAGAAATTAGGCAAATGATACAGAAGTGTGAGGTAAATATATCAACTCACTATCTGAAATAGCTGTTACAGGTATTTTTCTTTCAGAGAAAGCAATCCTTTAAAGTTTCAAGCAACTAAACTAACAGTTTCAAGAAAGCAGTGATTCAAATTTTAACAATCTATATTCTCCTGATGAATCTGAGCTGACTGGCCTTTTCTTTGACATTGCATCATGCAGGTTTCTTCATGGTATGAACAATTTCAGAAATCAGCATCAACACTAACTCTAGAAGGAAAAGCTGAGTTGGACCTCAGATGATGAAAAAGCAGCCCCTTAGGTAAATTCATCCTGGGACAAACCCACGGCTCCTTCACTCATGAAAAAACTGAAGATTACAGAGGACAGAAAGCAATATTCCATCTTTATGTGAAAAAATCCATCAGGCTAAAACACACAGATGCACAAAATGTAAGACCAGTTACTATCCACTGAATTCAGTGCAAACCAAATACACTTTGAACTTCACCTACTCATCTCTTTCTTTTACCCCAAAGGACACAGGCATGGTTTCAGCATCCAAACAAGCAAAGCTGTATTTTGAGATATTGGGAATGGACAAGGACAATCAGCTGCTCCCAAGCCAGATGTTCTTTACCTGAAAGAGCAGATTTAGCCGAGAGGCTCGGCTGGTGATGGGCTCCATTGGTCCTGCCTCGACTGGATTTCGGGCTCCACATTTAAACTTCAACATCTTTACAGCTTATCTCGTATAAACGATCACCTAAAAAAGGGAACAGGGACATTCAGGAAGCACTTGACTGGCTGACTCTAAGTAAAATATATACATGAGGGGGGATGTAATGTAAGCAACATTTACATTTCCTCGGGGGCAAAATTTTTAAGTTTAAACGCGCCTGGAGCGCCCCAGCAATTAAAGCGGGGAGAAGCAATTACCTTGAAGACCTCCGAGACCACTGAGTGCGACCTGTGAGCGAACCCCACCGTGACAATGTCCCCGCGGCACTCAGCGCTTCGGCCAGTCTATCCTTAAACACCTCCAGGGACGGTGACCCCACCAGCTCGCTGGAGGGTGCGGGGCCCCCCGAACTCCGCAGTTTGCAGCGGGCGGACCCGAGTCCCCCTCAGAGCCGCCCCATGCCAAGCCCCGTTCCCGAGGTCCCAAGTCTGCCTCAGCCCCCCGCGGGTCCCTCAGAGCCGCCTCGTCCCAAGCCCCGTTCCCGGGTCCCTCACAGCCGCCTCGTCCCAAGCCCCGTTCACCAGGGCCCCCCAAGTCCCCGCGCGCGCCCCGCTTTTACCGCCGCTAGCGTTTGAACGGCGCGGTGGGCGTGAGGCTTCTAACGTCACTTCCTGTTACCGGGCGCGGGCCAATCGCGGGCCGGCAGGGCCGGAAGCCCTGTTCGGGTGTGGTGGCGGCCCCGTGAAGGGGGGAGCGGCTGCGGGTTGTGAGGGGCCGCTGAGGGGACCCCGGTGCCGCGGGGCTTCCCCAGCTCCGGAGGGAGCACAGAAAGGCCTTCGGACACTGCTGGTGCTGCTCTGCCCTCATGGGTTTGCTCGCGCTTGTCGTGTACTTCACGTCTTTTTGTTTTGTTTTGTTTGTTTGTTTTCCTTTGCCAAATCTTAAAAGGGAAAAATGACTCATTCCCAGTAGTTCTGAGTGGAGCTGGCTCAACCCTACCCTGAACGTCAGAGTTGGCAGCAGATGCTGCCAGGTAGGGCAGCCAGAGGGGAAATGGAAAGCTTTTCAGAAGCTTTAAATTTCCATCTGTAAAATGCTTGCCTGACCTTTATGACCTTTTTTGTATGGCCGTTTTATTCAGATACAGGGTGATTAACTTTCAAGTGAAGCGCTGGTGAAAGGCTTCTAGCTCAGCACCCTCTCTTGTCAGTGACGCATCCATCAGAACATTCAGTGGGATGCAGGATGACCTTGTGTGAGGATGGATCCGATGGATCCTTGTGGAGATATCCATGGAGGACATGGGCAGGGAGCGCTGATGTGACCTGCAGGCATCACAGGGGTGCAAAACACAGCCCCTTGTTACAGTGTCTGGGCAAGATTTAATCTGGTAATAGAAACCTCGGTGGCGTGGTCCTTAAAAATATTCATGTCACTGTGAGTGACGTCAGATAGTTTGCTCTCTAACATTCTTTTTAATGATGCTGATACTGGTTTGGCATCTAGCTGATCAAGTAATGTACTGATGGATTTATTACATTTGACTTTATACAAATCATTTTACAGATCTGTGCTTCCTTTCACCTCCCCCAGTCCACCCCTGGAACACGGACATATTTGTGGTGTATTTCTTGTCTCAAACTTACATATCTGGGTTCATTCCAAGTTACAAAGCCTGAAAGAGTTTTTAAAATCTAATTTATTGTCCACTACCTGCACCACCAATTTGGTTTTGGACTCCACTCAGGACACTGTCATTGGCTGTGTCTCATCCACATCTGCATTACCCAGGAGAGATCAGCTTTTAAACAGAAATGCAGTAAAGAGCTTCCTGTGCATGAACTGGGTAATTGCCATGGTGTAGTGCATTTTAGTAAAATATCACATCCTGCCCTGATACTGGAACCCTACCATGTCTAAAGGTGGTCTACCCTACATTTTGAACAAGTCTCACTGTCTGCCATACAAATTATGAGAACTTCAGGCTCCTGTGTCTTGCCCTTTCTCCAGCCTGTCTCCTCAGCAAATATCATTAACCTCATCTGTTTTAACTGCCAGAATTACTGTTAAATATCCACACTCTACCTAATTCCTCTGGGGATATCACCATATCTGCACATCAGTTTGGATTTAGAAAATGGGGGAAGCTGAAGATCTGGGTTCTCCTTCAGAACAGCACAGTTCTGTATTGTGTTCAAATCACAAGGTGTGGCTGATTCTCCTTCCCTCTTCTCTGCAGGGTGGTGTGGAACAGCTGATCCACAGACTGGGAGAGGAGATGGGTCATTAAGGGTCTCACCTCATGCACATTAATGCTCCCCTTTCCCTTCAGAACATGCACACTGGCTCTGGGTGTTTAAAACAGAAATTCAACCAGCCAGGTGAGCTGCTTGGCTGGACCACGGGCCTCTGTCAGCTGCCCAACAGGTTCAGCAATAGCATCAGTTTACTGATTCACAGGTTTAGAATTTAATTCTTCAAAATAAAGATTTTTTTTGTTTGTTTTTTTGAGTGTTTGCAAGCAAAGAAACTGGCTCTTAAAAGCCTTTGGTACAGATCCAGTTTTTCTTATAATTTAGGTGAAGACTAGTCATCTAATCTAATCAAGTTAGATTAGTTCCCTTTAAGAAAGCCTTTAAATACATATTTTGCTAGAAGCAGCCATGTGATACAAGATCACGTACTGGGTTTTTTTCTTCTTTGTTGCTCTGTAACAGACTTATGTAAACAGGAATGTCTAGCAGCAAGATGAAATAGTAGCATAAAAATGCAGTTGCACCAGAACTGTTATCAAATGGTAAGAAAACAACTGAAGTGGCAGATGAGGGGAGAAGAGAGGAGAGAGAGAAAAACAGTGCAGTTTATACCTCAGTACATATTTCTGATAGCTCAGGTAAAAAAAGAAATACATACCTGTTCAGAAGAACTCATATTTTCATTTTCTTTAAATTGATGATCTGAAGTCTTCAGAGTGAAATTGATGATTCCTTCTCACCTTTGATATTTTTATCAAGAGAAATCATAGTGCACCAGTCCTTTGTAACAGCCAAATTATGTATCACTCCTTGAACCTGACAGCTGCTCCTGGGTGCAACCTCACTTAACTGGAAGGAGCAGCAGCAGACCTGAAACCGTACAAAGCAGGGGCTTATTCCTACTATTAAATAATAGGTTGTTCAAAAGTGTAACAGAATAAATAGCTCTGTGATTTTCCCTAAGCAGGTCCCAATATGGTGCTCAACATGTTTTGACATCTCACCATGCATGGAATTGGTTACCATCTGTTTGACATTATTTTATTATAAGAGTAGGGGTTTCCCTTTATTTCCTTGGCCCAAATTCTCCTTCCTCATGCTGTTGTGCTCCAAGGTGACAGTGTTCCCAGGATTGCTTGTCCCAGTAACACCCTTCAGGCTTGCCTGAGGTCTAAGATGCTACGTAAATGTAGAAGTAAACAACCAGGCAGGCAGGTACACCAGCTTTTTGCCAAGAGCCTGGTGCTCAGATCCTCATCCTAACTAACCTCACCATATTTTAACGGGCAGAGAGCTGCCAAGTGCCCCCCCAACACCATCTGGCTGTGAACTTCTGTATTTACAGCAGCATTACTCAGAAATTTCTTCATCTGTGGAGCACTGAGACTCTCGTGGCAGTGCACAAGGAGTTAATGAATTTATATATGCTTAGAAAGCAATAAACAGGTCATGTGCTATCACAAGGCTACGAGCTAAGTATGACCAAAACCATAATTTTTTACAAGGTAAATTTTGTCCTACCTACCAAATCTTTCCAGCTCTGTTCTTTCCAAATTGTAATGCTACTCATGCAGATGGGTCTGCAGGCAAGGCTTCCAGAGGATGTGGACCCCAGAAATAAATAATGCTCTTCAGCAAGGCCTTTACCATAGCTAATCTATATGTCTATCTATAATCTATAATTCTGCTTGAAAACAAAAAATGAATTCTCCTTTATCAGTTCTATCCCTTCCTCTAACTCACCAATATTTAAAAGAGCTTGTAATAAATCAAGCTCTTTCTTCAGCCCTAACCCTAATCACACCTGGGTTACCATTTCCTGTTTCAAAATAAAGGGTCTGACTTGGCTGACTCCAATACTGTCATAAACCCTTGCTAAGTGGAGCATTAAGCACCACTGCTTAATGGGACCTAAATTATCCTTAGATTCCTGACACATTTTGTTCCACTTTCTTTTCCCAAACTATCACAAAATATCCAACCTGACATAATAGTCATGCACGCTACAGGGGTAGGGATATTTGCACAATACACATTTGGGAAGAAGAGTTATGGAAGAGGGAAGTAAATTCCTTATCAAAGCTATGAAGGCAAATAGAAATAATCATCAGGAAAACAATTACATTGTCTTTCCTTCTGCAGTATTTTTAATTTCCTCCTGAGAATTTTTGGAAAAAGACCACTCTGCTGTCATCATCCTGGGATAAGCAAAAAGGAAATGAAACTTTAAAAGACCTGAAAGGCTGTTTGGTTTTTCTTCTATAGCCTCTCACTAGAAGGTAGGCACAGAGATAATATTCTTCAAGGTTATTTTGACTAAAATATTAAAGACCTTTTTTTGATTATGCATTCACTTCATACATTCACAAACATTATGAGTATTAGCAATATGCTAATAATTGTATTATACAAGTGCTAATGTTCTGGGGTTTTTTATGTATTGCTTCTATATTTCCTTATATTTACAGTAGTAAAATCAATTAAAACAGTTTTTAAAACACAGGGCTTTCCTATTAGATACATAGTTGTCATCTATCTTTTGATTTATTCATAAAAATGCAAACAGACATATGTGATGATGCTCTTCAGACCAAATCCAAGTTCTGAGGGTTCCTCATTCCAGCACACACTGCTCAGTTCTGACCACACTCTCCTAACACACAGCCATATGTTGAATCTCCCTGTAAGCCAAAACATAATCATGATAAATTTCTGGTGTGACCAAAATGAAATAGTAACAGAATTGGGTCACTAAGAATCTTCTTTATGTGCAAACTGAACATTTAACCACATGAAAGTGAAGTGCTTTTTTTAATTCTAATTGTCTTCTACATTTTTTTTTTATATATATGTATTTAGCTTTAAACAAATCCCTCATTACTTTCCAGAGAAATAATTTATAAACTTGTAGATGCAGTGAGAAGCAAATGATGTTTTATATATCTCAGCTTCAGGCTTCCTTTGTGCTATCACAGGAACACCCCTGATTCCACAAAAATTATTTCATAGAAAGCAATTTATTAAACCTCATGATCTGTCAAGACACATGAATATTGATGTGTTCACATTAACATCTCCTGGAGCTGCTGAAAACTACATTTGTCATGACTTAATGGGAATTACATGTTCCACAGCAACAGGTGACAGGAGCTTAATTAAAGCAAAACTGATAAAGTATCTGAGCCATTATAAAAAATGTTTTGTTTTAAATATCCTAAAGAACCATTTGCATATTTTCATTGATGGGGAAGAGAAGGCAACTCTGGTTTACAAGATAAAACCTAGAACAGGACAGGTACTGCTTATTAGATGGCAAGTGCATCTAACATAACACTGTGGAATTTAGATAGAATAATCATGTAAAAAATGGCCATATCCAGTTATATTTTACTTAGATTCCAAAAGAAAAAAGAGAGCAGTGATACCCTTATGTGAAGAGACAGAATTATTTTGAGAGCACAATTAAAACTTATTATTAAAATTTAATCATATGTTGGTCCTAGGGGGAATGAATTCTAGATGTTCACAGCAGGACTCTTTTCTTTGCCTTAAATCAAGAAATCCACAGAAAATATGTCCTTTCCTCAACTACAGCAGTAATTTCCTTGTTTGTGGGATTGGACCTCAGTGCCCAGATATTTTGTTACAAAAACAAATCCCATCAGATTGAAGTATCAAAATTAAATATGAAAATAGATTAAACAAATGTCTATTAAAATAATGCCAGCCTTTTAAAAGAAAAAAAAAAAAAAAACAAACACAGTATTTACTAACTCTGATGATTGAAGATGCAAAAGTAGATTTGGATTCTTTGTGTAATTGAACTTGAAAGAAACTCTGTCTTTTCCTTTGAAAATTTATTCCAAAAATTCCAGTAACCAATAATTTGTGCTCTGCAGCTCTATAGCATGGTGGGCACTGTGAATAGGGTAAAAAAGAACAATAGTAGCACTTTGTGCAGAGTATAAATAAAAGCAGCAGATGAGGCAATGACAGTTTTAATGTCAAAGGACTCTTCCAGGTAAGACTAAAAGAAATTTAGATTTGATTGCCTGCCTATTTTTTTAATCTGGAATCACGATTTTGGTGCCTTATGGATTTTAGATGTTCTTGCTCTGAGTGGGTGTGTTCATTCCTGTCCCAAAGAACTCGGCAATGGCAGCCTACATGTTACTTTATTTAATTCTTCTAGAATTAGTTCTATAATGTTTGCTTGGAGGCCAAGAGATATTTTACAGTGACTATTGTGGGATTCTCATTTTTAAACAGCTTTTCCATGTTAAGAATTGTGATGAATAAGTGATTAAGAAATAACACTGACAAACAGTGAAGTAATTTAAGGTTCATAAAGGAAGTGAATGACAATTTCTGGCTGCTTTAGAGGTCACTGCATGGTCAAATTGCTTTTTTTGGAGTGCTCTTCACCGTTTCTCATGGTGATTGGCCTGGCTCACATTGTTTTCTCACACTTCTAAATTTCCTTTACTACCTGGAAAGAAAAGGCTCCAAACCCAGTATATTCTTCCTCAAAAAAAAAATTGGGAAGGTGGGAAGTTGTTGCAATGGTGCAATGCTCATGGTCTGCCAAGGAATTGCATTTTGCCATTTTTAGCCAAAGGCTGGATACAAAAATACGAATATTGAACGAGGAATGGAAATTCCATGTGAAAGAGTTTCTGTGGAATAAACATTTCCTGAATAAAAGATGGCTGTAATCTACTTCTTTTTTCCCCTCTTTTTTGAAGTACTGCAGGTCAACTTTTGTTTTGAAAATAACTTTTTAATAAAAGGTGGGTTTATGCTACTATTTCAGATTCCTCTAGAATTGAATTAATTACCTAAGTACCAAGATAGAATATTTTCTTCTTTCTGCTTCTCTCGACACTTAGCTCTCCAGTTTTCCTCAGATCTTGTGCATTGCTTCTCTGGAATTTAAAATGGATCAGATGCAGCATTAATGAATTGTGCCAGTGGATGAGAGCAATTAAAAACAATTAGTCCCTTGGAAACAAGGGGAGAGGTGCAGACTTGGCACACCCCACATCTTAAACCTTTTAAGCATGAAGCAGAAAGTAGACAGCTTTTCATAACAAAGAGCTATCAAAAAAAGCCTAATAGCCAACCTCAAAATGACAAAAAACAATAACTAAAAAAAAATCTATCTTAAGTAATTGTTATTTGTTAACAAACAGCTACCACTTAAAATCCTCCAGAAGACAGCATTTAAATCAGTGGAGGAGTCTGGGTTCTGCATCAACCTATTCCTCCATGAAGCAAAGATTATTTAGAATACAAGATGCTAGAATAAAAGATATTTGCATATAAGCTGCATAGTTTGTTGCACCTCTGTCCTCTCCATGTTCCCCTGGCTTTCATTCTGCTGCCTTTCAGTATCCCAGCCTCAAAAGATGATGTATCATCTAGTTCTTGTGAATAAGAACTGCTACTTCTCTCTTAAAAAGGGTTCTTTAAATCCTGCTTGTTTTCTGGAATTCAGCTCCAAACTGAGGCAGAGGCACAGCCAGGCAATGCTGGCAGTGGTGTTCAACAGCTGTGTAGAGTCTGCAAGTCTTCCCCCTTACATGTATCCTCTTGGGGCAAAAAATGCTATTCCACCTTCAGAAATAGCCAATAAACAGGCTGATCCAAGGTATTTACAAACAAGGAAGATGCAGGAAGAACAAATCTGTCTCCTCCTGTCATTGCCTGCCCCGCTGTGGTGTGAGAGAAGGACACACAGCCCCCATTGCATCATTCAGCAGTACCATCAGAAAATGGCACCTCCTAAATAGGATTTTTCTTTTCCTGCCTACCAAGTCATTTGTAAAAGGCCATTTCTGCCCAAGCTGCATATAAATCGGAGGTTGTTAGTGGATTGCTGCTCTCTGGCTTCATTTGCACAGAGCTCCGTGCCAAAACCACGGCTCTGCAGGACCTCAGTCGTAAAGAAGAAAATGATCAATAAGCCTGGGCAGCTTGTGACGCTCACTGACAGATTTTCACTGCCTCTATGGCTGTATTTTAATTTAGACAAAAATAGTTAACAGCGCAGTTGCAAGGGAAAAAAAGTCATCTGCTTCTTATCTAATGTGTAATTCAAAATTCCTATAATTGATCTTCATTGACAGTTTTTGCAAGCTCACTCACCCACACTGCACATATTGTGCTTCCTGACATAATTCCCGACATAGACGATGATATTTCAACAGAGGAAGCTTGTTAAATCAGGTCAAACAAAATAAAGAATTAGAATGTGCTGCAAGTCCTTGCAGCTGTCTGTCTTTTCACCCTGCCCCCTTATCCCCACCAAAAAAATACAAAACAAAACAAACAAAACCCACAAAACAGCAACAACAAGATGCACACAAGACAATACAAAACACATTTCCAAATACTGGTACTTTTGTAACGGGCTAAAAATACGAAATTCAGCTTTGTTAAATGTTCATAGGCTTCTGAATTAAAATACATTATTTTCTCCAAAGATGCTGGACTATTACTGTTGATCAGACATAACTGCCAGTCTTTTATTGCTTCCACATGGTTTAATTTTCCCTGGAAGTGTCATATATATTCTAATGATCTGCTGAATTAAAAGAATTCTAAATCAGTTCCCAATTGATGAGGTGGTATTTCTGAGATAGGACAATAAAGGGCATTTTCTCTCACAGACAAACACAAAAATCCAGGTAGTGATAATGGGTCCTCAGGTGTCTGAAAGAGTGATACATAATTTTAGAGCAACACAAACAATAGATGCATTTTCCATTTACAATGACTGTAAATAAAGAGGAACATAATGTTTCTGTTTTATAAACACAATCACTGGCCTAGGCAGCCCTCTCCAACTACTCAGACTACTCTTATTCTTCAAAGAACTGAGATAAAGGAAGGGTTCTACAGACAATACATACATTTAATGGTAGTGGAAAGCCAGACAAGTTGAATAGAAGCATGTTAGAATAATAGATACAAAAGACTGGCACAGGGGAAATCCCATTTTAATTTCTGTAAACACAGCTCCAGCTTTTAAAACAAAACATTTGAAGTGTAGAGTGAGGCACTTTTTCATAGGGGTAGGTTCTTTAACTCCAGATTATTTTTTTTTCCAACTCTAGGTGCTAATTCCATAGCAGTTGAGACATGATTCCCATAAATCACCTCCCTGACCCACAGGTCTTTCCCCCATCGGCTGGGGGTGGCTCTTAGTTTCCAATTTCTGGTGGCTGTAGCACTGCAGGTTATTTATGCTTCACCTTATTGAGCTGATAAGTCATCAGTAGAGAAGGAGAGGCAACCAAGGATGACACATGTGCAGACACACTAAAAATCACAGTAAGCTCTTACCTTTCATGCCCACAGCAAGTTCTCAGGAGACTTCTGCACTGGGCAGGGATGTTGGTGTGCTTTGAAAAGTGAGACAATATTTCTTGAGCTCTGCAGACATATCATGTTATGTGCAAGCATCTCCTTTTTCCCCCTGAGTAAGTTCTGAAACACTCAACAAACAAAAACACTTGAAGGGCAAACCCATAAATATTTCAGCTATTTGTATATGGGTTATTCCTTTGGAGTTAAATAACTGGAGTAAAACTGACACAGTGTGTATTTTATACTGAATAGCACAAAACTGACCCAGGGAATAGCAAGGATTATAAGCCAGACTGTGGAATGGGAAGCCATTTGGGCTCTTCTGTGAGGACATGCAATAATGGAATGTTTGCAAGGTAGTTGCTGCCTTCATTTTTGGCCTTCACTGAAATTTCTTCAATTTAAGTGTAAATTTGGGGAATCAAAACTCATCTGTCTATATGACAGCTTTATATGAAAACAGTGAAGGAAAATAAAAATTAATTAAATGTTTCACGTAAGGCTACATCTGACACTGGCCTAAAAGAGGATGACTAAAATAGGCAAAAACATGTTTATTTAAGCTAAGATATACTTTTAATAGCAAAGTGGTGCTGAAAGAAACCGGATGGCCAAATAAATGGCAAGCACTGAACACAGCACTGAAATAATGTAAAAAATATGATTTTTGTTGACTCTCCCTTTCCTGCTCAACAAGGCTGATTTCTTGTCATTCTAGGTAGGCAAAGGTGTGAAGCTTTATAAAATAACCTGATCTCCAGCAGAGAGGAGAATCACACACTGAAGGGCATTCAGCCAAACCCAGAGCCTGGATTGCTGTGAAGTTTTATCAGTCTCTACATTCAGGATGAAAGGCCATCAAGTAAGAAAAATATGCACCCAATCTTTATATCTTTATATCTTTATATCTTTCTACAATGAGCATGTCAACATATTCATTGATCCCAGTGAAGAGAATCTGGATCCCTTTTTGTCTGCCTTCACACACCCCATGGGAGAAGTTGGCTGTGAACTCACACCAAGGCTGCACTAAATGTTCATAAATGTCATTCCCAATGCGACTGAACTCACCCAGCCCCTGCAGGCATGGAATGCTGTACAGCAAAATGCAAAAATGGGAAACAAGAATAGAAGGCACTTCATTAAGGTAATGTTCACATCTAAATTTCACCCCCATATAGATAATGTGTGGGTGAATATTAGATTTAAGTAGCTAGCTTAATGCAGAATATTTTAGTGACAAATATGGTCTATGCACTTCCTAAAATGTCTAGAGGTATGCAAAACAATAATATGGGAAAGGTGGGATAGGAAGAGAAAGGAAACTTTTAATCTTAAAATTTATTTTTAGGTGATCTATTGAATGAAGGTTTGCCTTTTCCTGCCTTTTTGAACACCCACATCCATGCATCAGAGCAAAGATTCTGATGAATGTGATACCCAGAGTATCACAGCTTTCTCTATGGTTGTTTTTTTCATATAATGCAGTCAGTTAATTAGATCTCCTCTGATCAATCATTGAATTACCGCTTCAAAAGGCATTATGATATGATGAGAGTGCCTTGCAGCAGTTAAACACTTTGATTTTTCTGTCCTAACACATTTACAACTGATGTCAACTAGGTCCTCCCAGCAGGAATAAAGAAATACTTTCTTAAATTACAAGAACAATTTATCTTACAATTTAAAATCTAAAAAAAATACTGTAAAGCAGACCAGTAAAATTACTGTAATTTGGATTCATTCTCTCCATTGGTCCTTGCTAGTATTTAAGACCAACTTCTTTCATGTTTTCCATGTTTCTTATGTATTGCTCTCAAGCCCTATCTATGGATCTCCAACCTTCTCTCTTGCTCTTGTTCTATTCAGCTGTTTTATACCATCACTGTTATGTATCTGTGACTTCAGCTGTGTTACAGCAGCTCCTTCCTTGATCCTCAGTAGTCTGACTCAAAAACTAAAGTGGTGTAGTCGTTGCAAAGAGATATTGACAGGAACTCTTTTGTTTTCCTCTTGTGACTTGGCTTTTGAAGAGAAACTGTGATCTAAGGGTTAAGACCATAGGTCACAATTCGGTCATGAGATTTGCATGCCTTGGCATTGGGGACTGTTGGCAAGTTACAGCCTTGGCTTCTCCTCATCCCTCTGTGAAAGGGGAATAGGGATTACAGGACAATGTCACCCCAAGAGTTGCCTCATTATAGAGAAATAAATAGAAAGTAGAATAAACAGAATAACAGTGCATTTTAGTTTCTGTGAAGAGCTTTAGATTCCTTGGAAAGCAGACAGTACAGGGAGGGATGGTGTGTAGTTTTGGGAAAGGTGTGGTTGTGCTTCCTCTCCAAAAGCAGATGCCATGTGCCACATCCAGGGATCTTTGCACGGTGCTGTACAGAGGAGTTCTCATGCTTGCAGTAAAACAAGAAAATAAAGAAGCTTTCTACAACCCGCTTTTGTCTATGATTCAAGTCCCCACATAGGGCAAAAAAGATATGTTGTTTTTCTGAGCAGTACAAGTGATGGAAAATGATTTACTTTTTAATCCTACAGAAATACTTTTGCCAGATGAAAGCTGTTCTGCTGTTGCCTTTCCAACAGGATAGTTCAGTCTGCAGGTAATTAAACAACAGAAAGCAATACCCATAATTCAACAGTATGGCTTAGCTATTATTTGGCAATTCTTTTTCTCTTGAAAACTCCTATACATAATATGAGCTTAAAATGGAAATCACTCATAGCAAGTTTAATTTCATTGTGAATTGTTCTCATACACCAATATTTGACCACATTTGTAAGAAACCCAAATCTTTTCCTGCCAACCGAAGCTGTCCTGCACTCTTACAAAGTCTGCTATTTTGAATTTGAATACCTGCTACGTGGGCAGCAGACCCCAGGGAGATGATACACCAGTCTGGCAACTCGCCATTCTGTGAAATGGAAGGGTGCTGACAAAACTGAAGGGGATTTAGAAACCAGCAACTAGGATGAGAAGACACAGGATTTTCATCTTTCTGGAGAAATTAAGGCTTGGCTATTTTTATAGCAAGGTTGATTACTGCCTCCCAAATTAAACCCAGGGAAATATATTATCATCTGGAAACTGGTTCCCTAGTACTTGCAGGTCTCCCCATGGCCAGGCTGACACAGCAAAGACAGATTTCCAGGTTCTTCCAGAGCCAAGAGGAGAGGTTATTGCCCCTGATAGTGCAGAGCACTCCTGGGGCCCAGGGAGATAGTGTCCTGTGAGCTGAACGTGTAAAAGGTGACCATGTACTTTTTAGTAACTCAACTGTTAAAAAGAAACAGAAGAAATCACAGTTTGAAAGCGTGAAAAAGGAGAAAGATGATGGGGAATAGCACTGACTACCTCAAGCTAATGCAGGGTTCCTCATCCATGTAGAATGAGCTTTAGCTCACCAGGAGCAACTTAATTACTTCTGTTCGATGGTTTTCCACCCACATGTTTATCGGTGCTCTTGGAAAGTGCTGAGGAAACAGCTCAGGGCATGAAAAGGGATTACTCTCATAGGTAACGGGTGCTGCAAAAGCTCCTCTGAAAGTTTCTGTGCTGCACATACGCAGGATGCCTCCCCCTGGGTAGGATTGTCTGGCTCCTAATGATGTGACAATGGAGCAGGTCCTGCAGGAGCACAAAGGTCCCGGAAGCACTGCTGGTATTTGCACCAAGGAGTTAACAGCTCTGAGGGTTAGTAATTACATTTACAAGTTAGTAATTATACTTACAAGTAAGTATACAGCTAATAAAAAATCCTGTTATCCTGTACTTTTTACTTTAAAATTTCTTATTCCCAAGAAGTGAATCAGGCCTCTCTTCAGATAATTTATAGAATACCAGTTTCCATAACAACATAATTGCTCAATGAAGCAAAAATACCTGGCAGAGTTGCCATTATCATGAAATAATTGACCACAACAGTGAGTGAAAGAGGCTGCATTAAACCCCACATTGCTTTGTGTCAACATGGTCAATTACAATCCAATAATGCCAGATCAAAGACCAGCATTCCTAAAACAAGTCATTACAAATCACACCATATCCCTAAGAAGCAGAGTGAGATCACAGTGAACAAATATTTTTCCCTATAACAAAGCACAGAGTCATCATTTAATGGTTGCAGAACTCCATGGCCCACACCATGACAGGTAATTTTAGGACTTAAGGGTTTGCTGTAAAGAAATACAAGCAAGAACAGCACTCTCAGTTTGCACCTTCATAGAGCAAAGGCACGAGCTACTTTATAATTCTAAATAGGAGTGTTTGTTCACAAAGGCTTGGCAAACATTGTCATGTGGTAAGATTCAAGAGGGAGAACTCACACCCACTGCTGAAAACACCTAGTTCATTAAAAAACCAGCACCAGTCTAGATGTAAATGTATATCTCCCCATGGAACCATTACATCTTTACTCCTTCCTGCAGAAGCAGCCAGCCCATGGCTGGGTTTGTGTGAGAGCACTCAGACCCAGCACCTCTCATGTGAGTGTGCAGTGCTACCCTGCACATCCCCAGCCCAGCTCTGCTCTGCACCCTGTTGTGCTCACTGTGTCCCTGAGACATTTTTTGTTTTTCTGCAGCTTCTCCAGCAGCTCTGAGTAGCTCCAGCAGTCTGTCACATGCTGCCAAAGGCACACTGCAATCCCAGCAAGGGTGTGTGAGGATGGGAGCCCTCTTGGCATAAGCGTTGGAGGATCATCCCACTAAGTAGGAGCCAGGTTGGATCCTATGACCAGAGTCTCACTGAAGCATGGTAAGCCAATAAGGAGCCTCAGGTGCATGAGTGCCAGATCAGAGCCAGGTGTGAAACAGTCAAACTGTTGGTGGGGTACCCCAAACAGATCAAACTGGCCTGAAATATTGGCCATGCAACTCCTCCAGGTCCAGAGTAGCTCTGCTTGTTCCTGGCACTGTCAGCTTTGTTTTGGACAGACTGTTACAGAATGCTTCCAAACTTCACAACTCACAGAGACTAAAACCTGTAGTACACAATAGTTACATCTCTAACTCCTGTGTGTCATATTACAAGTCAAACTGTTCCACTATTCTTTTCCCTTTGCACCCCTTGTTCCTTACACACAGGTAGGGTGAGCACAGCATGGTGTTGGCTCTGTCCTTGGGCACTCCTGACTCATCCAGGCCATGCTTTACCCCCTTAGCAGTCAAGGGATGTTTCCCCTGACTTCAATGCCCTGAGTCACCATGGTGGATGAGTCGTCTTTCTGCTCTACCTGATGAGATATTGATAATCCTGGGAAAAAACAAACTTGTCAGAAACTCTGTGGGGATATTGAGCCTTGAGAAAAATCAGGATGGTCTTTTATTTTTATCTTCCTCGGCTAAAACCCAGAACAGCTTTCTTTCCTTTCTGTTTAATGATAAATCTCTGGTTTTTTCACCCTTACCAAGCTCTGCAAATACATCTTCCCATCCTGTATTTCCCTCCTCAGCATCAGAGAAAAGCTGGGCACAGACATACTGGATAGTTTCGGACATTACAGAAGCAAAGAGAAAGAAAGGTCACACATGAGTCTTATCTCTGGCTTTGCAGTTCTGGCCTGTTTTGCAAGCAAGACACATATATCCTTTAATTATTCATTAGGGTAACTGCAAACTCTCTGAGGCTGCCTGTACCTCTTGCAGCAGAGGAGGCTGTGGCTGTAACACCTCGGCACAGAGGTACACAAACAACCAGAAAAAAGTAAAATATTTGTCAGAAATAAAGTGCAGGAAAACAGAGAAAAGAATAAAGCAATTAATCATTCAGAATGGGGGGAGTGAGTCTGGGAGAGAGAGAGACAGAGAGAGAGAGAATGGCAAAAGAAACCTGATAGCTTGTGCTGCCTCCCCTGGAAGTCTGTCAGCCCACTGGCAGGAAGATTAAGGATGTTGATGGGAATTCCTTTCTCACCACAGTCGGCTTTAAAAGCACAGGACAATAACCTACTTTTACAGGTCTGGCTGTGGCTTTCCCATAACACATCTTTTTCTCCCCTTACTCTAAACAAAAAAAGATGATCCCTTGCAGTGCCTCTTATCTGAGTGCTGCCCTCACAGCTGAAGTGAAGGTATTGATTGAAGCACTCGGACGTTTATTGGATTTGCGGCTTTTCTGATGTGTGAAAAATGCTTTGTCCTGCTCAAGTCATACAGTCCTACATGCTCCAGCATTTGTTGGTGTAACCACCAAGGGTCCAGACCCTCTGCCACACTTCCTTTGTGAACAGACCAAACAGTGAAATCCCTGCAAGGCAGAATGCAGATTTCAAAACATCAGATTTAACAATATACTTGACACTGGGCTTGAAGAATCTGCACAGCTTACAGTTCACCTCTCCTTGACCCTCTGGGAAGGACAATACCCATTGCTGTATCCACAGCTTAAGCTGGATTGCCTGTTTCAGTATCTTGCTCTTTTAGGAACCTGTTTAGCAGAGGGAATTTGCACTGGCAGGTTGCCCTGGATGGCTCCTTGAATCAAGTTCTCCAATCCTCCCCATGGTTTATTTACTGGATTCAGTACTTGTGGGATGGGGAAAAGCAAGAAGGGAAAAAAATTACTTAGAGGCAAGGTCAGTGCCATCCTTTTGCCCCATAAGAATAGAACCTTTTGCTTTCTAGCTTATACAGACCTGCAAGATTTTGTTCTGAGCAAGGAAAGAATGATTGACCCTCTTAAAAAGAATCTTATACCACTCTCTTATAGCTATGCTTTCTTTTCATCCTTGATTGCTAATATCACAAAGAAGGCCTTCCTATGTCCTGGGCAAGGTGACATTTCTGCGTTCTGTGATGACATCACTGGCATCAGTCACTTGCTCTTGGTTCTCTGTGTGCTTGAGTCAGTCTGGCCTTTATGCATTTTCAGAAAGGGCCATCCCTGGAGTGATTTCCAGGCTGAAAGATCATTTGTTCTGTACACACAGGAACATTCTGTGTTGCAAGAGCATCAGCTTTTGAAAAGCCTGATCTAAATCTCCACAAGAACTACTCACTATTGCAGTACCTGAGGAATGAAGTCTCATCAGGCTTTAGCAGTGCAATTAAAATAAAACCACCTCATGTTTGACTTGTTTCAAATAACTAGTTCTTCTATTTTCTGGGCTGAGGTTCTCCAAAAGACATAACCAAGGTGAAGCAGGGCAAGAAGAGCAGAAATGGGAGTTGGGTGTCCACTTATGGGCAGCAACTGTCCCAGCTCTCAGCTGAAATACATTTTGGGATCCTAATAGATAATGACACCATTTCACTGTAAAGAAACTGCATTGTTATATTCTTAACAGTTTTTCATAGATACTTG